CAGATTGTAAAACAGAATTTAGCTGAGGACAATGAAATAAGATCAGATTGGTCTGATAGGAACAACTTGAAATAGAAGGAGTCCGAATGACCTGGGTGTTTTAAAAAAAAACTGGAATAATAGTTCCTGGCGAGCATCTGCATAGAGAGGGCAATATAAGATGACGTGTTCCATCGTTTCAATTATTCCTCTGCCACATGGCCATAGTCTTTGATTGCGGGGAATATTTCGATATCTGCCTTCAGTGATAGCTGTGGGAAGGGTGTTGAATCTGGCCAGGGGCACTTGTTTTATCTTCTGCAACTAGAATGAATTTGGGGGAAATTTCAGGATTAATGCATTTGAATAAATGTTATATTTTTCACTGATTTAGCTGTCACTATCTTATGAATGACTTAATATACCTGCTCAGTAACACATCTGATTGGGCATAAAATTGACAACAAGGCAACCTGAACGTATGCTTTGTCCCATGGCAGCAAGTAAGAGGATCAAAGTCAATGTATTCCCAACTGAATTAAGTTGCTTAAAACTTTTATTGCAAATACAAGAGGTATGAATAATATTAAAGGTAGACAGATAAAATAAACTCCTTATATCTCTTCAACTGTTAGAAACCCCAGAAATAATAGCAAATGTACCCCAAAGCCAGTTTTGGCAAAGCACAGTCCTAGGATCATGGTCTATGTAGAGGTGCATCTCTTAGCAGTGATTTAGAGAACATACATGTTTCCCTCTTAACTAATCACTTTTTAAATATATATATATACTGTATAAAGGCATCTCCCCTGGCACTGGTATTACATGCCAAGAACAGCTGAAGATAAAGAATATACATGAATAGATAAAATACAGCTGACCATGCCAGTCAAATTCCCTACACCAAATGGTTATCCTTTTGATTAAGGGTTTAAGATCATATTAACTCATATGCACACTCATTAAGTGAAGGGAAAAATCATGCACGTGGGGAAAGAGGGTGCACTCCAACTAACTCCTCACTTTTCTTCTGCAATTCCACTACATCTTATTGTGCTGCTCTGATGACTACCAAAAAGACAGTATCATAATCCCGTTGTTACTCAGCAATACCAACTTGATATACTGGAATTAGATGCAATAGAAATCCTTGCCCCTGCAAACTTACTTCACACATTATGAGCATGTTAATGAATGTAGAGGGTAACAGGCTGAATACCTCATGATTCACTTAGTTGGAACCTATTGGAAATTATTATGGTGAAACGTAGCCTGTTACTATAATTTTGCTCACCTTTCACCCTGGTATATTGATTCAGGTGTCTAGAACAAATCCCTACTATTATGTTTTGACACTGACCAATATCATGGATGTTCTCTTTTCAGAAAATGTATTGATACCTATCAGCTGGGTATTATTTACTTCCCTTTTGTGCTTGATGCTTTCATTGTTCTTTCCAATCCCTTCTTTTTCTCATTTACTCACACTTTCAAAGGGGTGGGGTCAAACTTACTGTACATTTCCTGGTGTATGAGAGGTGTTCATGCACTGCCGTTTATATGCACTTGGTGCCATGTCCTTGTCTGCCAGTTAAATTAGCCATGATCCTCTCCTCTAATCTGTCTAGTCACGAAGCAGGGATGTGTTCTAGAGTAAATACAAAATGTTGTTATTGTTTTTGCCTTGTGTAAAGTGTACTCTGTCTTGTGAGTGTCCACAGGTTTGGAAAAAAAACAAGAGGATGTTAATAGGCTATTACTTGTTTTCTTCCATACCACTATCACCCTTTCATGATGGCACCTTAATTGTAGCTGGGCTCACATTTCTGTGTCCTATGTAATATAGCTTCAGTTTCTATCTAGCTAAAAGAGTAATGCAATGATTTTAGCAATATTGTTGTGATCTGTTAATATGCATGGTACTCTCATCTGTCAGCCTGGTCAGTATGTAGGAATGTTTGTGAAGGCAATACGTATAGAAAAACCGAAACACATTGGGATACAGGGAGCAATACAGAAGCCCCATAACACATAACCCCAACTTTCTTACGTTAATGCACTAGCACAACTACATATTCTGGACACTATCTGACAAGTCAGTATCCATACAAAAGTTTCAGTTACCATTACACTTCACCGGATGAAGCAAAAGGTTGATCTTTACCCATTTAACAAATTGTTCTCTAGAAGAAATTAATGCACTTTTTATTTTATTGCTAATTGGCACTGTGTGAACTTGTCCATGAACAAAAACAAGAACTCAATTATCTTTCAATAGACAGATTTTTCTGTATATTGCAGTAGCACGTAATGAACAAAATATGCATTCAAAAATGCAATACATTAGTAAAAATTATGTATGTATGTATGTACGTACATATGTATGTATATATATATATGTGTGTGTGTGTGTGCGCGCATTGTATATATATAATTTTACATATCTATCTATCTATCTATCTATCTATCTATCTATCTATCTATCTATCTCTTCTGGGCATTTTTAAAATGAAACGTGATGAAGGAATAGATGGCAATAAACCTAAAGTCTGATTTCTATTTAGTTTCTAATTTTCAGAGTAAATTTTGTCCATCTCTAAATGCAGGGCTATTAATTTTGTAA